GTCTGAGGGAAGGATGGCCACCTCCCCTGTGAAGACAAGTCCCAGATCTCCAGAGTTTTGCAGCAGGAATGTCTCCAGGCAGGTGGGGCAGTGGGGCCAAGCAACCCATCACAGACCCTTAGAATTCACTTTCCTCAGGTGTTTTCTCTCTCAGGCCATTGCTGCTGCCAGCATTCTGGCCTAATCAGGAACAGAGTCCCCTTCCTTCTCCCCGCTTAGTGTGATGGATCAAGGCTGAGAATTCCCACACTAACACATATTAAGGGAAGAGACAGGGGAAGGAAGCAAAGGAGTCTTTGCAGACTGAAACACTTGGTCTTATAGGGCTCACAGTGCTCGGTTATCCCAGACCCGCCAAATCCCTCCTCATGTCCCCACAGTGCTTTAGAGGGTCCCAAAGGAGCAGCACAACTTCACAGGCCCCTTGCTTGTGTTTCTTCATTCCTACTCCTTGTCTGTCTGTGTGGGGAGAGTAGCCATACGAGCACCTTAAAACAACTCAGCCACCTTGACCTTTAAGGTCAATAATCAGAGAAAAAAAACCTCCACTGTGCCATTTCCTACAGGAGTCCCATCCTGTGTGTTTGGAGGACTACAAAAGGCCTCCTCAGGTGACAGGTGACAAGAAAAACCCCATCCTTTTAAGGATATCCATGCACCCAGACTCAACAGAGTACTATTACACTCCAAAAATTCTAGCATCCCTTCCTTACCAGGAGGAGGGACTACAGAGGTTCATGGTCCCAAATTTACTGTGAAGCCCCATAACATAGCATTTGCAGAAACAGGGTCTACTCTATTGGGGCCAAGATGGTAAAGGGCAGTATTTCTGAGTCCACTCTGTCCCGGGGCAAACAACAAACATAATGGTCCATAAACTTATCATGTATTCTTACTCATGACTACTCTCTAATAAAAATATCTTTAATTCACAGGCTTATGTGGATGGAGCCAGCCCAATGAGCCTGCCCTTTCAATCAGAGCAATCAAGGAGGTGTGGGGACCCCCATCTGTACCTGGGATTGGATCCAGAGTCCAGTTAGCCTGGGTCTCAAGCCTGCAGAATGTTCTGGAACTCCGTGACGTGAGGTGGGCCCAGGTTTTTGAGTTTGCAGGACCAAATGTCTCACCCTCCATTTATCAGCTACATAATTCCACAAAGGTTGGTAAACTTTCCTGTGCCTTAATTTCCTCATCTGCAATGTGAGAGTCGTAAGATCTTCTTCATAGGAAATAGAGGCGAAATACGATAACGTGTTTAGCACAGTGCCTAGCACACAGCGAGCTTGGAAAATGGCAGGGATGGTTGGTGGAGTGGGGCAGAACAGGCCACTCCAAGGACCAGGGCCTGGACAGAGAAAAAGTCATGCTGGGACGTGATGGGACACCAAGGAAAGCAAGACCAGCCCTTCCCTAGCAGGCGGGCGCCTCGAGGGGCCAGATGGGACTCCAGGTTGCAGAAAATTTTTTTAAGTTTATAGGTTCTAAAAGGTCAGGCTCTTTGGTGTTAAAAGTTTTAAAGACCAGTAAAATTTACAGAAGATTTGAGACACGGCTGTCTTGGAAAGGCTGGAGCCAGGAGCCTACAGGATCCCCGCTCTGTCCATAACTGGCTGTGGGAACTGAGGCAGGTCACGGAGGCCCTCTGGATTCTGTATTTTCACCTGAAAAATGGGAGCAAGCCATGTGGTAAGGGGTAGGGCAGTGTGTGCCGGCATGAGCCTGGGCTCGTAACCACCTGATGACACAGAGCTCTTTCCAGGGTTTAGACCCAGGCTGATTGACTTCTGGAAAGCCCCACGCACATGTGTGAGCCCGGTCTTGCTTGCCACGGTGTTGGGAGCACAACGGAGGGCCCTGGGCTACAGGTCCTGCATTCTTGGGGCTTCTCAGTCCCCACGTTGGACCGCTGCCATCCGCGTGTCTGCCTCCGCTCCCTGGGAGGAGCCCAGCCGTCTGCAGCCAGAGCTCAGAATCAAATTAGCCGGCCCTCTTGCCTGTCCCTTGTCCCCACTGGCCAAGGAGAGTTCATCGAGGCCTCGCACTAATTTCTATCTTGTTTAAAAGGGACAAAAGTGACTCCGCAGTTTCGACAGAGGCAATTTACACCCCGCCACTGGCCTCAGCTCCAGCTGCCCCTGTCTGTTGCGCCGTCACATCCATTAATAGGAAATTTCTTCAGGGGAAGCTTCGTTGCAGCCACATCCGAGAGGCACACAGGCAATACATCTCCGTTCCAGGCCTCGGCCTGCCCGGCTCGCTCTAATCCCATTACCTAGGGAGCTAATTCTCTAATGCACACACTGTATCGAGACATCCGCTCCCCCCACCCCACCCCCAGCTCATTTGGGCAGTCCCAGAGGATTCCAGGAGCTCAGCGCAGAAACGAAGGCTTCGGGCTCAGAGCACGGGGCCTCCAGGCTTTCTCGCTGCCCCTGCACGGGTCTCGGCACACGTCCCCCAACAGTATCGAGGGTCAGCCCCATTCAGTCCACGTCCCCCCGCCCCCCGCTTCCCAGCTCAGCCTCTCCTGCAGCCTTCTCTTCCTCCTTCTGCGTCCCTCTTTGCGTCTCCTTTACTCCTGATCTTCTACTCCTAGCTTCCTTTTCTTTCTCAGTTTCCTGCCAATGTTCTCTTTTTCTCATCTTCCTTTTATTTTTTGCTTCTCTCCCTTCTCCTTCTCCAGATCTCCCTTTTCCTGTAGTCTTACCTTCTGCTTCTTCGCACCCTGCCTTGGTTCTGCACCTCACTCAACAGGTTCAGGGCCAGAGGCTCCTTCCTGCTCTCTGTCTCCAGATGACTTGGCTCTGTGGCAGGCGTGGGCTCCAGGCTACACTGGTCTCAGCTGGGAGCAAGAGACGAGGGAGTGCCTCGTGAGTGCACACAGGGAACCTCAGGGAGGACAAGATGGGGCATTGGGGCAGTAGTTAGGGCATGCAAGGGGACAGCTAAGTATTGTTTATTCTAGAAGGATGAACCTCCAAATGGGTTACTGCTAAGCACTGAACCTGGTAATGCCCATACGAAGACACCCCATCAGGGAATGGTATAATGCTATATGCAGGTTTTATAATGCACAGCAAAACGAAAAGTCCTTCTAGAAATTTGCAGCAGATTTCTAAGTGGCAGTGGCCAAAGACGGAGGTGAGCTTGAGCCTAAGAATCTTTGTGTATCACTCCAGATGCTGGGCCCCAGGATGCATTTAGGGGTCCACAAGTGCCCCTCCTAATTTGGAGCCCCTTCAAGACCTCAGCCTGGAGGCCTGGGGGCAGCCTGGTTCTTGCCTTGCCTTCTCCAGTTGTCAAGCTGGGAGTCTGGATGCGTTCATTCTGGGGTGGCGGGGTCTGGCTCTCTAAATTCCTTAGAAGTTTGGGGGTGCCTATTTTCTCCTTCCACTTGCCCCCATCTTCATTCCTCTAAAAGGAAATCCTGGAGATGATTTTCCTGGTTTTTCTGAGTTGTGCAGTGAGGAAGCATGTGACTTAAGAGAAGTGTAGCCCAGCCTCCTTGAGCTTGACTGAACATTCCAGGACCAGACTCTGGCTCAGAGCCATATGAAGGGACAGGGACGCCATTGGTTGAAAGGTATAATGCCAAATGCAGATTCCATCCTGTGCATGAATAAGGGGAAATATCCAGACAGAGCCAAAAAGGACTCATCCCTGCCCAAGGTGATTTTTTTTTTAACTTAATTGCAATTCAGAAAACTCCTTCCTCCAGGTTTCCCAGCTTATGCCACACTTAAACTCAACTGGAAAAAAAAGTGAAAGGCATAAAAATGTTCTGCGACTGAGGGTTGCCACAATCTGAATACAAGTGCATTGTGCTTTGAACGCGCTCGAGGTGGAAATGTCCGCTTCTACTCCAAATGGTGATGTGGGAGTGGGATTCACTCCAACTCACAGCGATACTCTTCTCAGACAATTTTGTGGGCACACAGTTGGGGATCTGAGGGGTAGATCGTTTCCTATTCAATTTACAAAGGAAAGAGAAACACTTCTTCGAGGAAAACATTTCAAAGGTAAGTGTTGAGAATGCTCATGAATTGATATTAAGCAAAGAAAGGAGTGGGGTGCAAAGTTAAGTGCTTGGTATATGTACTTCGCTGCATACAGATCACAGAAGAAAATAATAGGGCAGTACACAGGAAAATATTAACAGGGGCTGTGTCTGGGTAGTAAGGAAGCCCACGGATGATTTTTAATTTTTCTTCATATTTTTCTATAATAAGCAGGTGTTACTATTATATTTTAATAACATATTATTGTACATATTAAATATATTAATATATTTGCATAGTATAAACTACAGATACATATATGTATTGCTACTTAAATATTTAAATTTACATATTTAGGTGAAAAAAGTAGATAAATACTTCAATAAGGACAAAAGAGCAGACATGGACTAACCTTCCTCTGTCCACAGAGATGCCCGGTCACCTGCTTGGCTAGGGGCTCTCGTCCCCCCCCACCCCGTGGTGTAAAAGAATAGCCTTCCTGCTCCCACAGCCTGGTCCCTCCCCTCCCTACTCCCACCACCTCACCTCTCCCTGCCTCGGCCCCATGCTATCAAACCACACTGGACGTAAATGAAGGCAGGAGCCCGAGCACCTCCCAGCAGACAGACGCACCCTCCTTCGGGGGGGCTCCTGAAGTTACTCCCAGTTACTCCTTGGGGAATTTGGCCAGACCACCTGGCTGGCTGGGTGGCCCAAGGCCGGCCCCATGACATCAGCTGGGCGGGCTCCTTTCTCACTGGCTCCCTCTCCTTCCCTCCCGCCCTGAAACCTGATCCAGCAGAAGAACTGATTGCAGGAAAACCTGGCGGCCGCCCAACCCCAGCGGCGGGGCTCCATGAGGCAGCAGCCTCAGAAGGTGTGGGAAGTGGCCCCGAGAGGCAGGCGGGCTGGGACACACGAGGCTGGGAGCGTGCAGGCAGGCTGCGCCCTGGCACGACTGACCCCGGGCTCACGCCCAGCATCCCACACCCAGGAGAGCTCACCATGCTGTTGTGGGTGCCACAGGCACTGCTGGCCTTGCTTCTGCCCACGCTTCTGGCACAGGGAGAAGGTAAGGGGACCGGTCGTGCCCATACGACTTGCTGACCCCTGCAGACATGGGCGGGGGCGCTTGATTCCTCCAGGGCTTGAGGGAAGCAGGGTTTTGGGGCGGGTGCTGCTGCAGGAGGGTCAGGGATCATGCCGCAGGAGCATGAGAGGAGTTTAAGGGACTGGGGTCCACCTCCAAAGTTGGGGCGGTTGAGCGTGGGTGGGGCGCCGGGCCTGCTGAGAGGGACCCAGCAGCAGCCTGGCACACAGCTACCAGAGAGGGGCTTCTCTGTCCTTTGCCCTGCCCTAGATTCATGGAATGACATCCGCAAGTTTCCCTGGAGCTGAGGCAGTCTACCCCTTCTAGTTGTCAGTGGGAATGCAGGGGTCCAGAGAGGGGCGGTCATTCACTCAAGGTCACACAGCGCCTTCGCAACAGAGTGGGGACCAGAGCAAACATAGCCATCTTTCCTCCACTTTCCTCCACTTCCCTAGTCTTACTGCATGGGTTCCCTGGGCCTCCTTTCCCAAACTTCCCTTCCAGAGCGAAACTCCAGCGACACCAAATTTTTCTCATTCCCCCACCCACCCTTTCCTGCCTTCCCAGGATAAAAGATGTTGGGGTCACCAAAGGATCGGTTTCCTTTGGCTACAAACAATATCGGTTCCCCATTCCAGAAGGTCATCTCCCCATCCAGAGCTAGGACGGAGCTGGGGCTGGAGCACAGTTAGGATGCCCGTCTCGGGGCTGGACAGATAGGAAGAGCTTAAATACGCGATGGGTTTCCTCTCCTGAGCTGTCCCTGGGGAAGTTCAGAGGGACAAACGCCCCAGGCTGCTTGTCAAGACCCTGGTCTGGGGCTTCCCTGGCTGAAGAGAAGTATTGTCCCTTCCAGCAACGGCTTTTCGCCCCGAGTCCTGCGGGGCCCTGTCTGGTAAGACACACAGAGACTGGGATTTGAATCTCTTTTCCTCCACTCGCGGGCACAGGACCCACCTTTCTGAGCCTTGGGGATTCTTCTCTGTAAACGATGCTGTCATGATAGCCACCCCCGGGGGCTGCTCGAGATCGAATTGAATAATATGTTCCCTGAGATTATCCCACAGGAGACACTCAATAAATGGTCTCTGGCCTCCCGCCTCTCTCTGCTCTTCTCTGTCATTCCGAGGGAAACGGAGAGTTTATCAGGGAAAGGACAGGGAGAGGCACCTGCCGGGGCAACGACCCAGGTGGCACCCTGCTCGTCCTCTCACAGCCCACACCCTGGCCCTCTGGGGCCTTCCCCTTCTCTCCCCTGTGCCTTTCACCTTCATACTTCTTGGCATCTCTCAGGAAATTCTTCTGCTATTTCCCAGAGGAATGACAGGTACACATGAAACCCCCATAGAATGGGGAGAGGCCTAGGAGTTGGGTTTTCTCACCACTCTCTGGTCCCTCTAGGCCTCGGGCTCTGGGGACAACTCGGTTTCTCCCCACTTCCTGTTCACCCCACACCTAACCCTCTTCCTATCTTCACCAGATCTGCCCACAGAGCAGAGCAGGACGCCTCTGAAGGAGTCCGGCCCAACCCGCCCCCAGGAGCGTGTGTTTGCGGCTGAGAGGGGGGATTCTGCAGGAAGGGAAAAGAACGTCAGCATTCCTGGAATGGCTCCCTTCTGTCCTCGTCAGTAGCAGGCTGGGGTCAGGGAGCCAAGGGCAGACACCGAGGCAAACCCTCATGTGGACCTTGGGGCTGAGAGATTGTGTGCTTTGAGCTGCCTTTCCTCATGTAGCCCCAGTACCATGTCCTGGGGCCACTCCTCCCTGGTCCCCCAGGGCCCCTCGCCATCCCCACAGGCCCACCGCCTCTGAGCTTGTACCTGCTCTCAGCCTTCCTCAGCCCTTGGCCTCCCTAGACCTCACCTGTCTTGCGGCTCCGGTCTCTGCAGCCTGGCGAGCGGCCCCCTCACACACAGGAGCGTACCTGTCACCCTGAGGAGACAATAGCTTCAGATCTGTTTACCTCTGGAGACAAAATGTTTAATCATGGGAATTTCAGTCAGTGGGCAGACCTGGGGATCTGAGATGGAAATAGTGGAGACATTTCCCTCTTAACAGCTTTCAAACCAAGGCAAGAGAACTGGGGGAAGCCTCAGGCTCTGAGGCCCACTGTGAACTGTTCTCCCCAGCCAGGCACTGGAGGCGCCTCCAGGCCCAGAACACCTCCAGGCCAGCTCTGCTGAGGCTGTCAGATCACCTTATGGCCAACTACGAGAAGGGCGTGCGGCCCGTGCGGGACTGGAGGAAGCCCACCACCGTGGCCATCGACGTCATTATCTATGCCATCCTCAGCGTGGTGAGCGCTGGGCCCCAAACTGCCCCGCTCGGAGGTAGACCTTTAGGGGTGGGAGACCATGGAAGGCCAAGTCACCCCCTGGGCAGTACAGTGGCCATTCAAGGACCCAGAGTACCTGCGACCTGGCACAAACCCGTGTCAGGACAGACGATGTCACCCAACACCTGCCCAGCTGCCCAAACCAGAAAACGGGGTCACCTGTGTGGCTGCTTCTCCCTACCCTTATGGCTAGAGACCCACTTTCCACTCAGTGTGTCACGGTCACCACGTCTCCATGTGAGTGCTGTGAGGCTTCAAACTGCCCTGTTCCTCTCCAGGCCCAAGCTGTGTTACGTGGGCCCCCACACACGGCAGGTGTTGCTGAAGCGTTGTTGCAGAATGAATCCGAAACCAGTGATGAATCTTGTTCTCGATGCAGTCTTGTCCCTGTTGCCGGCACACCAGGACAGGAGGGAGATACAGATCCAGACATATAGGCATACAGATACGTAAAAACATGTAACAGAGAGAAGATATTGTCTATAGGTCTCCTCTTATCTCTATGTTATGTATATTATATACGTAAACTAGATGTAATATAAGAGATGTATACATATCTATAATATGCATAACAATAGAAAATAGTAGAAGATATATATATACACTTTCATATATATATGAAAGTGTATATACATATGAAATATATATACTTTCATATATATATGAAAGTGTATATGTATATGAAATATATATATATGAATGTGTATATATATGTGAAATTTTTAAAGAATTGGTTGTATTTCTTTCTAGATGTGTCTAGTAAAAGACCACCTCTTCCTGGCTGGCTCCGTTTCCCCTTTCCTTCACTCTCACTTCCCAAAGGACTAGGGACACAAAGTAGCAGCTCCTGTTGGGGTGTGGGTGCAGGGCGGACGCCCACCCCCAGGGCCACCAAAGCTGAGCTCCCTTTCCCTTCACAGGATGAGAAGAACCAGGTTCTGACCACCTACATCTGGTACCGGCAGGTGAGCGACCAACCGCGCGCCCACCCCCATGTCCTGAGATCTGGGCTTCCCCTGCCAGGAAGGATTCCTCCATCTCAAAGGAATCAGGAATCTCAGAGGCCTTGATGAGGGAGAGGGAGGGAAGAGGTTAGGAAGCAGACTCTTGAGGCCCAGGAGTCTGGGCTCCTCTCATCTCAGGACTGGCAGTGGAAGGAAGCGTGTCTGTCAGTGGAGGAGGAATCCTCCAGACCCCTCTGGTTTCTGGGGATTTTCATAGCATCTCAAACAACAACTTGCCCAGCCACTGTTGATGGACTATCTATAGTGACTGGGAGCTCAGTGGGCAGCAACTGCACTTTCAGACAACTCTCTTTGCTAGAAAGTTCTTCCTTCTATTACGCCAGATGCAATGACAACCAAATTGGGCGATTGGCAGGGGGTGACTCCATCCACCGAGTCCTCACCCCCTCAGCCACCTCCCCACTCAGTTTCTGACCCACGTCGCTCCAGAGCTGGTGGAAACTCTCTGAGGCCTTTACAGCACGTTTGTGGGGAGCCGGCGGGGAGGGAGGCCAACAGCGCAGGCTGCTGTCCGCGGGCTGGTCTGCTCGGGCAGCCCCTGAGCTGGGGGGTGGACGTGAGAGCCAGAGGGAACCCCAGTGGCTGGAGAGCATGGGCAGGAGGACGGGGCCGGTTCCTAGAGGTCAAACGTGAGAGAGGCTCTGTCTGGGGGCACGCCTGGCACAGGACGGTCTCAGTGAAATCCTTCCCTCTCCTCATGCGCATACACCACTACCAGCTGCTCATGGGGCAGAGAGACGGGTGGAGGAAGACGCGGGAGTGCAGATTCCCGTCCGACGGCGCCCCTCAGCCTCACAGAGATCTCACTGTGGAGCACACCTGTGTCAAGGGAAAGGGCCCAGCCCAAAAAGGCAGCCTGGAGCTCCTTTCCTGGGACCTCGGGCTTAGGTCCCACCGCTGGACCTCAGGGTCACTTGTCTGCCCAGCAGCAAGGGGACACCAACCTCTCGTCTTCCAGAGACTATGCTAAGGGGCCAGAATCAGAGACGCAGACTAGACTCAGGCCCTGCCCACAGTGAGCTCACAGTCTAGGGGGCCTCCACACATGGACAGACCCGTGAATGCAGCAAGAACAAGAGGCCAACCACGGGAGCAGAGGAGGCACCTAAACACCCCACCTGGGCTGTGGGGTCCTGGAAGGTTCCTGCAGAAGGGAGCAGACAGATGCATTGGTAAAGTCTGGAGGGACGAGGAAGACCTCCCTCAGGGGTGAAGACGGGGGTTGCGGTGTGGGAGCGTGGGTAAGAAGAGATGTGGGGCGTTCACCTCCCGTGGCCGGAGGTGAGAAGCTACAGAGAGGCAGAATTCACGAGGCTAGAGAGAATGCTGGGGGGTCGGACGATGCGGCCCATTGTAGGCCGTGAGGTCGAACTCTATCCCAAGGGCAAAGTTGGCGACTAGAGTTCTAAGCGAGGGAGTGACACAATTAAGTTGACATTTTAGATCAGTCATTCCGACAGGATGGTGAGCAATGCATTGATCCAAATTTAACAGTAACCATCTCTAACCTGTGAGGTGCGTGTTATTACCTCAGTTTACACGTGAGCAGACCAAGACCCAAGAGGCTATCTGTCTAAGATCCCGCAGTTGGCAGCTGGGCTGTTCAAACAGGAGAAATGGCCGCATGCCTTCCCTGGGCAAAGCTTCATATGCCTGGGTCATACCTGCATGCGGGGAGTGTGTGAGCACAGAGGTGGGGGGCTCTTGGGTACTGCCAGGTGATCGGGGACACCAATACCCAGATTCCCCCTGAGCGGTGACATCACCCCGAGTTGCGGATGTCCCCCCCCACCCAAGATGGAGGGGGCTTCCTGTGACCATCCCCACTCCTCCTCTAGTACTGGACTGACGAGTTTCTCCAGTGGAACCCCGAGGACTTTGACAACATCACCAAGCTGTCCATCCCCACCGACAACATCTGGGTCCCAGACATTCTCATCAATGAGTTGTGAGTGCTGTCACCCAGTCCTGGGCTGCCCGGTGCCTCCGGGGCTGGGGAGGGACAGGGCGTGGGGACACGACTCTGCACGGCAGGAGAGGTCCCACCCAGGCTTGCAGAATTGTCAGGTGACTGTAGGAATTGCCTTGGGCCCCAACTCCCCTTTGTGGTTGGTTTGTTTTCTCTTTTCTTTTTTAAAACTCCTTTTTCTATGCCTGATGTTGAAACTTTGCTCTTCTTGGTCCGAGGGCCCCCTTCCTGGCGAGGGGAAGCTGAGGAATGAATCCCCACTGTTAACAGTAGCTGAATGAGGGGCAGCTGCATTACCAAAAGGGGTGAAGTGCCGCAGGGGTCACCACCTTGGTCACAGGGTGATTTGGAGCCGTAGAGGCTCCGACCTTTCAAGTCGTGCAATGACTGGTTGGCTCCAGCTTGTGCCCCCAGTGAGAAGTGGGTACCCCCATCCTTTATTACCAACGGCTGAACACTGTCTCATGCGGCCCCCAGCTAACATCCGTTCCCTCCGTCCTTCAGGCTCCTTCAGGCTCTGCTGCCTGGGCTTCTGAGTGCTAGAGCATGGAGAGGGCTGGGGAGACAGATGGAAGGAGGAAGGGGTCCAGGGCCAGTAGCGTTCCACTCAGTAGGCACTGTGTTGTCCGATGCCTGGGGTCCCACTCACTCTGTTTCTCAGGGAAGGCAGCTGACCTGGAGCCCCATGACCTGCACAGCTCAGGCTGCAGGGATCCCAGTTGCTGGCTGGGTCTCCAGTTAAACTGTGAAGCAGCCTGAATCTTGATTTCTCAGCCTTATTCCACAGGAGGTTACAGGCTCGGGACGCCCAGCTCAGGCCATTCCGTGCCACAGTGGCCACTTGGGAGAGCCTAGGGGTTGGGGATCTGCTGAGAGAGTAGGGCTAAGTCTTGCAGAACTTTCCACCTTGCCTCATTTCTTCTCCATGATTTCTCTAGTTGATTCTCCTCCAGGCAAGATCATTCTCATGTCCAAAGGACTACTAGGGATGGGGAGCAAAGGGAAGCCCGGGTCAGGATGGAACCCGAGGTCCTGCTTCCCTGCTGAGACCGCCCATTGCCACTGAGCCAACTCCTGGGACTAAGCTCTGCCCGGCTGGGGGTGGTGGCATAGGGACAACTGGGCATGTGTGTTAGAGCCAGTGGCTGTGAGGTACATGGATTCCCTGCCTGCCTTTTGTGGCGAGGTTGCCAAGGGAATGAAGGAGAAATGCCCTCTCCTGCTTGGAAGGTAACCCTGACAATGGCAGGTAAGAAAGCCTAGAAGAGATGAGAAGGCAACTGGGCAGGTTGTCCTGCTGCCCAGACCCTTCCTGAATTTCTATCCCTGCTGGGTGGCTCAGAGACCTTCAGACTCCCAGAGCTTGACCTGCTTCTTGAACCCCCAAACGGACCCTCTTCCCTGGCCAGTGTGGACGTGGGGAAGTCTCCAAGTATCCCGTACGTGTACGTTGGGCATCACGGCGAGGTCCAGAACTACAAGCCCCTTCAGGTGATGACCGCCTGTAGCCTCGACATCTACAACTTCCCCTTCGACGTGCAGAACTGCTCCCTGACCTTCACCAGCTGGTTGCACACCAGTGAGTGCCGCATGGGGCTCCAGGAGGGGGCAGGGCATGGCGGAGGGGGCAGCCCCTAGGAGGCGCTCTCCTTTATCCAAATCACTTCCTGCTTCTTTTTTTTTTTTTTTAATTTTATTTTTTTATAAACATATAATATATTTTTATCCCCAGGGGTACAGGTCTGTGAATCGCCAGGTTTACACACTTCACAGCACTCACCATAGCACATACCCTCCCCAATGTCCATAATCCCACCCCCCCAACACCCCCCCCCCCCCTACCCCCCGAGTTGGTTTGGTGGGATTAAGAGTCACTTATGGTTTGTCTCCCTCCCAATCCCATCTTGTTTCATTTACTCTTCTCCTACCCCCTTAACCCCCCATGTTGCATCTCCTCTCCCTCATATCAGGGAGATCATATGATAGTTGTCTTTCTCCGATTGACTTATTTCGCTAAGCATGATACCCTCTGGTTCCATCCACGTCGTCACAAATGGCAAGATTTCATTTCTTTTGATGGCTGCATAGTATTCCATTGTGTATATATACCACATCTTCTTTATCCATTCATCTGTTGATGGACATCTAGGTTCTTTCCATAGTTTGGCTATTGTAGACATTGCTGCTATAAACATTCGGGTGCACGTGCCCCTTCGGATCACTACGTTTGTATCTTTAGGGTAAATACCCAGCAGTGCAATTGCTGGGTCATAGGGTAGTTCTATTTTCAACATTTTGAGGAACCTCCATGCTGTTTTCCAGAGTGGTTGCACCAGCTTGCATTCCCACCAACAGTGTAGGAGGGTTCCCCTTTCTCCGCATCCTCGCCAGCATCTGTCATTTCCTGACTTGTTAATTTTAGCCATTCTGACTGGTGTGAGGTGGTATCTCATTGTGGTTTTGATTTGTATTTCCCTGATGCCGAGTGATGTGGAGCACTTTTTCATGTGTCTGTTGGCCATCTGGATGTCTTCTTTGCAGAAATGTCTGTTCATGTCCTCTGCCCATTTCTTGATTGGATTATTTGTTCTTTGGGTGTTGAGTTTGCTAAGTTCTTTATAGATTTTGGACACTAGCCCTTTATCCGATATGTCATTTGCAAATATCTTCTCCCATTAACAAAACCTGATTCTTTTCTTAATGCCGCTGAGCCTGGCCTCTTCCTCCAGACAGGGCTCCGCGCTTGCCCTTTCTGCTCCCTCAGTTGTCTCCAGGGTCCAATGAGGCTGTGTAAACTTTCAGCAGGACACTCAGTAAGGCCAGGGCAGGACGTGGCCCTAAGTGTCCCTCACTTGTCTTCTCCGCTGACTGCACGCCCCCCAAGCCTTCTGCAATAATCTCCTAGCCAGTCCCCCTCCAATCCGTGCTCCCCATAGCAAATGGCGAGAACTTATTAAAATGCAAATCGGACCTTGTCCCAGCTCTAGCTTAAAAGCCTGAGTGGCTTCCTGGGACTCCTGAGACAGAATCCTTCACCTGGCCCGCAGGGCCTGCGCTTGACTCACTACAGCATCCTCAACCCAGTGCACACTCCTCTGAGTTCAGCTCCAGCCCTGCTGCCTTCCTTTCCAGGCCCCGAAGCCCCTTGTTCTCTCCCTTTATCCCAGGCTGCGTCCTCTCCTGGGCCCCCTGCCTCCTCCCCCTCCATCTCCTGCTCCCCTTCCCGCCCCACTCCTGACCCAAACCCCTCCTGGTGCGGTCAAGCCCCCTGCTCACCCAAACCCAGCAGCAGCCCAGTGCCTCAGGGAAAGCGGGCTCATCCCCAGACAAGGTCCCCCCTTGCCCAGTTCTAGAGCACTCTGTTCCCCCCACTTCCATTGCATACGTAGGTACTTGTTCAAAGTCTGCTTCTCCAGCAGAGAGAAACCCAGAGAGGGCAGGACCACGATTTTTGACCCAACGATGTGTCCCCAGGACAGTGCCTGGCACAAAAGAAGGGGCTCGGCCTCTTTTATTTAGTGGGTGAATGCCAGGGGCTCAGTAAACCCCAGTGAGGAGAGTGTCACACTCCTGCAGAAAGGCATCCTCGCTTCTGATTTTATCACATTAACTGTACATTACAAAGGTAACACGCAACTTCCTTGGGCAAAAACCAGAATTACAAATAATCTTAGACTTTTGACCTCTACCTACCTTTAGTCCCAGACTCTTCCCCAGAAACTCCCCACACCAGGACGGCACAGCTCTTATAAGTATAAGCTTCATATGGCACATTCTTCCAGATCCTTCTCTGTGCTTGGCCTATACATGGGCAGACACATCTGTGGAAAGCCCATGAAATTTATTTCACATACTTTCATTTTACGAAATGCATCATTTATGCTACTACTACCTGGTTCTTTGCACTCTGTGAGAGGTCTTGGACGTTTTTCTGAGTTAGTGCCTATTTACATGTTTCTCATAAATGTCTGCTATGGGGTAGCCTGGGGTTTGAAGGCATTGTAGTTTAGTAAGCCTCTTCCTCATTGATGGACACATACCTCTCCTCGTATGTTGCTGTAATGGACACTCCCTGCCTTCTAGGATGTACCTGTTTCTCCAGCAGGGATGCAGACAAGTAGAACTGCTATTCTCTAAGTGAAGGTTTCACTGATTTCCCTAGTTCTCCTTTATTCTTCCTTTCTTTCCCTCTCTCTCTCTCTTTCTTTCTTCTTGAGAGAGAAAGTGCACATGCATGAGTGGGGATGGGGGACAAGGGAGAGGGAGAGAAGGAATCTTAAGCAGGCTCCATGCTCGGCATGGATGTGGGGCTCAATCTCAGGACCCTGAGACCATGGCATGAGCTGAAATCAAGACCTAGATGCTTAACCTGACTGAGAAACTTAGATCATGTTTAAGGGCAGGCAACTCTATCGGGGAAGGTGAAGAATGTTGATTTTTGTTCATTTCATAAGTAGGTAACCCTAATGGAAACATAGAAGGATTGGAAGGGGTATGTGCAGTGGGGGGAGACAGAGAAGGAGATAGGGAGGGGGAGAGGGGGGCTTTCTAATAAGTCATTTGTCTGGTTCTGGTTCTTTGCATTTCACTGTGTGTTTTCATGCACACCGTCGCTCCCCTCGCTACTGTCACCCCACCTCGCTACTGCTACCACACCCCCACCCCAGGTGGGTACCGTGTGCACTGTTACCTCATTTGAGCTAAGTCGCATCCCAGGGTCTGCAGCCTCCAGAGCCGGCTTGCTTTCTTCCCTCTCAGTCCAGGACATCAACATCTCCCTGTGGCGTCTGCCGGAAAAGGTGAAGCTCGACAAGACCGTCTTCATGAACCAGGGCGAGTGGGAGCTTCTGGGGGTGCTGACCCAGTTCCGGGAGTTCAGTATGGAGGACAGCAGCCATTACGCAGAAATGAAGTTCTACGTGAGTGGGACTGGGGCGGGCACAGGGGGACGACCACCGGAGCTGGGGGTGTTCAGACCCACGTGGACTCCAGGAGGCATGGGGTGGGGGGTGGAGGGGAGAAGCTCTGCAGCCCTTTTCCTAGCCCAAGGGTCACACTCATGCCTTGGAACTTTAGGGAAGTAGGTGGGGAGTAAGCTGTCCCTTACTGCTCCTTGGCCGCCATAGGCCTCTATCCGGAGACAGAATGTGAGGTCGGCCCAGTCTCCTCTCTCAGCAGTCTGGCCCAGAAGCTCACAAAGCAAGGGGGTCTGGGAGGGGCTGGCGGTTCTGGGGCTCAGAGCCCGTCTGCCTCAGCCTTCCCCCACAGCTCCCGTCCTCGTCTTAGGTGGTCATCCGCCGGCGACCCCTGTTCTATGCGGTCAGCCTGCTGCTGCCCAGTATCTTCCTCATGCTCATGGACATCGTGGGCTTCTACCTGCCTCCAGACAGCGGTGAGAGGGTCTCCTTCAAGATCACGCTCCTCCTGGGCTACTCCGTCTTCCTCATCATCGTGTCGGACACGCTGCCGGCCACAGCCATTGGCACTCCCCTCATTGGTAAGGCCCCCCTGGGGCAAGCGGGCAGTGGCCGAGGAACCGAGAAACCAGCCCCCTCCCACCTGCGCTGTGTGTCCCCACCCCGCCCCATGTGCGCAGGAGTCTACTTCATCGTGTGCATGGCATTGCTGGTGATGAGCCTGGCTGAGACCATCTTCATTGTGCGGCTGGTGCACAAGCAGGACTTGCAGCAGCCCGTGCCCGCCTGGCTACGGCACCTGGTTCTGGAGCGGGTGGCGCTTCTCCTTTGCCTAGGGGAGCAGCCGGCTTCTCGAAGGCCCCTAGCCACCTCCCCAGCCACCAAGACTGATGACTGCACAGGTGAGAGAAGGAGGGGGGTTCCCACACAGGGGCCTGGGCCTGGGGACTTGGTGGAGAGCCTCTGGCTGCCGCGGCGGGATATGCCAGGGTCTGGGCAGGGCCTCAGAAGTGGGTACTGTCCTGCGCATGACCCCCCATCCCCGGCCTCATGGGAAGGCAGCGGAGTTCAGATGCAGGCATCAGCGGGACCCTTTCCACACCTTCACCTCCTCTCGTCATCCTGGGGATGGGTAGGGAGAAGGAAGGAGTTCCAGGGGCAGAGCACATTGGGAGCTGAAATTCCGGGGTTGAGAAGAGCCCTTCTCTGAGATGGGCCCTAACAGGGGGCAAATGCGTGCTGCTCAGATAGCAACGGGACTTCTTCCCCAGCAGGGCGAGGTCTGCAGCAGGATTGCCAAAACTCCTGCATTCCATCAGCTTAGAGACCAGGCCCCTTTGAATTTCAAACGCCTATGAGACAGAGAGATGGGATGCTGGGGACATGGACTGTGGCATTAGTTTTCCCTGAGACATCGTTACAGACACTACCTGGTGGTGGTGGGTGGGGTTCGCTGTGGCTCACTGATGTATTTGTCGAGCGCTTTGGGCCAGGCATGAGTATCTTCTGTGCACCACCATAGGCCATCCTCAGGCCCCCTAATAGCGTTCCCATCCTCATTTGTCAAATGAGGAAACAGAGGCTTACGGTCAAATAGCTTGCCCTTAAGTCATAGCACCAGGAACTGGTGGAACTGAGCGGAACACAGGCCCATCGGCTGCCAAGCTGGTATTCCTAACCACTGCACCCGCTTTTGTCCTCCCTTCTGGCAAGACCTAGGCCTTTTACAGACGGTATGTGGCTAACCTAAGACTACCTCACCATGAATGGATGCTCTGGTACACCAGCCTCATGCCCAGCTTATCTGCTCGCCTGCAAGGTGGCCATGGCTGGAGGCAGATTTCCTGGTGCAGAAGGCCTTGGGTTGGAGTCGAGGAGAAGAGGACAGCATGGCCTACCGGCGAGGGCCGTGGATTCACAGCCCAGATGCCTTAGGCCTTGGTGGCCTCACATTTAAATGACGCCCTGGGTGTGACCACAGGCTCCTCACTTACCCTCTGTGAGCTTTAGCCCCTTCCTGTAAAATGTGCAAGTAATTATCACTCCTACCCGGCCTCTCTCATGGGCTATGAGGCTCAAATGAAATAACACCAAATTGCTGGAGGAAGCCCAGGCCTTTAAAAACGTGCATGGGAAGAAATAAGCACTAGAGTCACGATCTCGGTGACCTGTGGGGAGGATGGAGGATGTGAGTGAGAGGGTACACGAGCATCTCCTACGGTGTTGCTTTCCGTATTTGTTTAAGTCACGTGGTGGGTCCACAAATAGGTGAGTTAACCTCTATAGCCTTTCTGTCCAAAATTGTTCATAACAATTTCTCCAAGCCACCGCGGAAGCAGAAGGGATGGTATTCACGCTCCCTCCTTTGCCAATGCGCTACCCTTTTTCCAGACGGAAACCACTGCAGCCATTTGGGAGACCCCTGGGACTTGGAGAAGACCCCAAGGGGCCGAGACAGCCCCCCGCCACCACCGCGGGAGGCCTCGCTGGCAGTTCAAGGGCTGCTGCAGGAGCTGGCCTCCATCAGGCGCTTCCTGGAGAAGAGGGACGAGAGCCGAGAGGTGGCCCGGGAGTGGCTGCGCGTGGGCTCCGTGCTGGACAGGCTGCTGTTCCGCGTCTACCTGGTGGCGGTGCTGGCCTACAGCATCACCCTCATCACTCTGTGGTCCGTGTGGCAGTATTCTTGAGTGGGCATGGCCCAGCAGGGGTGCGGGGGCATCAGGCGCTGGCGAGAAAAGGGATGGGGTGCAGGGCCCAGAGGGAGCCACAGACGTCTTCGAGACCCTGTCCAAAGCCAGTGTGTCTCAGCAACTCTGAACCAGGGCTGAGACTTCCCCAGAACGCTTGGCGTTCAAGACCCTTCCACCCCCGCCTCCCACCCCCAACTTACTATGGCTTTAAAACATGCTGCCATAGATCAGGACCAACCCAGGCATCCCCTGCCTTCATTCTATTCATCTATGCCTCAAGCCTCGGTTTCCCCTTGTCCCCTCCCTGCATACGGCACTTTGGACTTCAGCCCATCTCCCTCAACCTTGGTTTTAGATTCGAGGCAAACCAGCTCTCTACCACACAGGGCTGACAGCACCTCCTGAGGCTGACCCGACCTTAATAGCTCCTTCCTCACCTCACCTGTGGCCACTTCCCAGAGCACTCATGTTATGTCAGATGACCCGGGGGGAGGCATGGGGAGGGAAAAAAGGAGGGGGTGTGGGCAGAGGGAGCAACAGAATACAGTGAAGGCCTAGACTTACTTTTTTTTTTTTTTAAGATTTTATTTATTTCTTTGACAGACAGAGATCACAAGTAGGCAGAGAGGCAGGCAGGGGGTGGGGGGGAAGCAGGCTCCCTGCTGAGCAGAGAGCCTGATGCAGGGCTCGATCCCAGAACCCTGAGATCATGACCTGAGCCAAAGGCAGAGGCTTAACCCACTGAGCCACCCAGGCGCCCCCCTAGACTCACTTCTTAACGCTTTGTCAGCAGCTGGGTGGGGGGGAAGAAGAAGTTTAAAGTTACTGGTGGGAAGGAGGTAGAGGCATGGTTTCAGTTGTTGGGTGCTTCCTGCCCCCAGTGAATCAGGAGTTGACCAAACAGGGGCTGTAAGGAGACACAGTAGGAGGTAGAATCCAAGGTGGGAGGATAAGGACCACCACCACTTAGCAATGGAAAGGTGAGGAGCCAGAAGGTCGGTTCTGTTAACCCCTAGGAAGATGCTGGAAGTGTCCTCAGGGTCCTGTTACCATTCCTGGCTCCTGGTCTCTGGGCGAAGCTGGGAGCAAACGCTCTCCCTGCTAGCGGATCCCACGGTGGAGGCAGGGACATCAGCACCACGGCCAGCACTCGCTGGTCTTGGTCTTTGGAAGATGGAGGAAAGCCAAGACTTGAGTTTAACTATCTCTTTTGGGAACTCTCCACAGCCAGCTCTGGGCACATTCACCCAAAAGCAGGACCGTTGAGAGAGGCAGAGTTGGGTGCAAGGTCTTTGGTGTTACGTCTCATATCCTGGCCCCTCTCCTAAACACCAGGGTTTACAAGACATGCTGAGGAGAGCCGCAACTCTATGATTCCCTCACTCCATCATCTGACAAGTGTTCAGAGGAGAGGAATGCTAGAATCCGGCAAGAGTGACCTGAGTGTCACAATGTTTGCTTGACTCTTTCTCTGGTCCACCCTTTCTCTTTCCAGCCCTTAGGCTACCTGTCGCTCAGAGGAAGACATGGGGGAGAGGGATTGAACCTGCCAGTCTAAAGGGAAAGGACCCCAAAGGAGGAGTGTCTGGGATGAATGTTCTGGGCTGGCCAGTCATGAGGGTTTCAGTATGGAACACCTGAACTTATACCTTCTCATGATCCCAAAGTGCAGTTCTAGTGTAGACCATCCTGGGAGGCTAGGAGGATGCCAGACCTTGGGCCCTCGGGAGCTTCAAGACTGGGAGAGCCTGCAGACTGTGGAAGGGAACTTAATCTGTTTTAACTTCTCTCAGCTTCTCCCTATGTTCCCCAACATGCAAAATGAACTAATTAAATATTATTTAACTGGTTGCTCGTTCCTAAGGGCAAATTGAGAATGAAGTTTCACCTGTTATTTCCACCCCAGACATATGTACCTTTGCTGTTAATTAGGGATTTAAATTTATCTTTGTTTTGTTTTGGGGTGGATATCAGGGACCTCCAGCAAAGAGCAGGAGACTGTGGGGGCTGGGGATTGGCTGCATCACAGCTCTTGCCTCCCACTGAGCAGAGACTGGGCTCTTTCGGGATGGTGTTGGAAGCTCATACTTGGAGCCTGGTCTTGGGAGCAAAAGTTGCCCCACTCCACTAGGATTTGCTGGGGCTGGTTCCTGCCATCAGCTGATTCTTATGCCTCGGGCCAGAGAGAAAGGTGGACAGTCCAGTACTGTCGATGCACCACTGGTCAGTAAGTGGGTGGCTATTGACGAAGTGTCTGACCAGAGAGCTGGTAAGACACTAATCAACCTATCGATTCCTCATCTCCCCCCTCCCCACCCTTCACCCACAATCAATGGGGCAACAGAGCCCAACATTGAGGCAGCCAATTAACCACCTTGAGAATGAGCCGCCCCGTGTAACATCTTCTGCCCCACTAGCCACAGCCAATCAGCTCATCGATCCAGCATCCTAAAACTGTGCTGCCCAGGGACAGGAAACTGAGGCCCAGGGCCAGAGAACCCCCAGTGTACTACCTCTCGTCCGTCAATACTGATCTTGATCTTCTCCCAAGGAGACCTTTACCCTGTCTGGGATATGAGAACACCAGAATTTCCTTCCCACCTGTTCTGTCTCCCAGAACCTGCTCCCTTCCTTCCTCCTGCTGATTCAGCTCTTTGCCTCTCATGAGAAAACCAGAAACCACCTATGTCTTTGGAAGTGTTTCTGAGAAGCTTGCTGGTTCTCTGTCTTCACTCCACTCCTCTCCTGCGGCCTTCCCTCGCCACCCACAAGACTTTTGCTCTCACCTTCTTTTCCCACTCACCCTGTTTTCCAAACCTGTCATGTCTGTGCCAAAGATCCCACTGAAGGTCTTGAAAGTGGCCAGCATGAACCCTCCCAGCCCTCTGGATTTGTGGCTGGATTCGTGCTGCTTGAGGGGCGGAGCCCGCTGACACCATCCCACTGGGGAGGCTGCCTTTCCGCCAGGTCAGTAGCAACCTGGGCTTAGTAGCCTCAGGCCTCCTGACACCAAGTAGACCTCCCTTGGTTTCCAGGACAGTCCAGGGAGAGGAGCTGGGCTCAGAGTCAGGATACGGGAGATTTCTCTAAGAGAACAGGAGAGAGGGAAAGTTCCCCGGTGGGGTGAAGGCAGAGGGAGCCTGGGGAGGGGTGGGGTTCAGCAATCACCAGCCAGCTTTTCCTCCCTCCCCCCACCTCCCCTCAGCCTCTGAATCAATACATTTTGAATCTAATCTAATAACAGAGATTTAACGAGGGGATAATGCACGTGGAGCGGCCACAGGCGCTTTGTCTCTGCTTTCAAGCGGCAGCTGGGGCCCATTATCCGGGGACAATGCCCCATGCTAATCACTCCCTCTCTCCTCCAAGTGTTTGGGGAGGGGTGGTGGGCAAAGAGGGCAGCTCCTCTCTGATTAGAGGGGAGTGGAGGGGTGGAAGAGAGGGGAAGAAGTAGAGAAGGGTCTGGATGGGCCCCCCACAATTGTCTTGACCCAACACCAACTCCTTGCCCCCTGCCCCCTGGCCCACACTGTCCGTCCTGACCAGTCAGGGCCAGGGAGCCCTAACTGCGCACAAACAGCAGATAATTACCTATCAGCTGCAAGTCCCAGTGGCTGGGAGTTGGGTGGGTTTTTTTTTTTTTTTTTCTTTTCTTTTCGCTAACTTGGTCCTCTATAATTTAAGCTCTCCCATTAATGCTTGTGATTGGCCAGCCCTGACTGTCATGGTTAGAGAATTATACCGTGGTTTAGAGACCAAGAATACCCCTCTCTGAAACACAGCCCCTTCTTCTCTCTCTTCTCTCTGGGACTTTATAAATGGACTTGACCTGCTGGAAGAAGTGTGAGGTTAGACTGTAGCAAGAACTTCCTGATAATCACCTTGACACGGATTAGATTGGGAGTCTGAAAGGGAAAGAACAGAATCTAATTTTTGAGCAGCCTTGAAAGAAAGAGCCCTGTACCTAGGTTGGGAAGGGACAGACCAGGGCTGAAAGATCTGCCTCAGTTTTCCCTGTCAGAGCTCTAGTTGGAGGAGCCCAATGCCTGCACCGGCCAGTCCCATTCCTTTCTGCAACATAGTTATTGGGGGCACTGTGGGTGCTCAGGGTAGTAGCCACAGACTCGTGACTTTGCCCCCATCACACGCCCGCTGTGAAACTGGGACGGGAACTCCTCTATGCCTCCATTTTCTCCTCTGCAAAGTGGGGATCATATTAGCACCTGGCCTATTGGTATCATGGGCGCTGTGCCCCCAACATGGGGAGAAACCCGGGAAAGCACGAGGCTGGAGTTGAGAGGTGGCTCATGGCACTCTCAGCTCTTCCTCCGTCTCCTCACATCATGGTCTGCATGGGTAGAGCTCTCCCCAGGGAAACTGGAGATGAGGCCTTTGTCCTTCTCGTCCGTCCCCATTTCAGAGACGGGCAGGGCGAGGTGAGCTGGTTGCTCATCATAAGGCCAGTGGGAGCTCAAGTTCCTGTTCCCACCAGGCTGGATTCAGACCTCTGTGCCCATACCTTTGCGTCTCTTTTACTCCCATTACTGTCCCCCTCCCTCAGCCCGCACATTCCCAGCTCCTCTGCACCAAGTTCCTCCTCAAAACCACAGCTTTGAATTCCTGCTCTGGGAAGACTCATACACCTAATCTGATCCTGACTAGGTCTCTCCCATTCCACTCCACCGTGTCACTGCCTGCAAAGAGAACGAAACTGTTAGCAGAGAGACACACCATGCGTATGACAGTGGGGACTGTGGGGACCTGGGGATTCACTTCCGCGTGTCTGGGAGAACCCCACCCTCAAATCTTAGAAAGATCTAGCCTAAGGCCTGGAATGGGATGTCAATCTCTGGCCAAAGGGAACCACAACCTTGTCGTTCTGAAGTCTGTCCACAAGGTGGCAGCAAAGTCCAGAAATTCTATGGAGCGGCCTTGACCCATTTTATCACCCCCTTCCCTGCTTCCCAGCGGTCTCTGAAGCCCCCTTCCAGGCCAGCCC